AGTTTTGCACAGCTGAATGGTTGCCATGGGAGATAAAAGGATTTCTCAAACATTCATAAACGAATCAAGGCAACACTCCTGGTATGTTTTTGAGGAGTGAATAACATTGCAACATGATGAAAAGCTCAAAAAAGTTGATTTTACATGATACTGCTCCTTTGTAAGGAGAGTCTGTATTCAATTACAGACATAAGTGTTTGACATTCTATTCAAAGTCAAACCAAACAGTGAGGTTCAAGGCAGATATGATGGAATTTAACTTTTATCTTGCAAGAGCGTGCACCTAAATTCTTCCAGTGCCCTCTGACCCCTGCGCTGAGGCACTGCTCATGTGAGAGCGCCTCCCCACACCAACCACACTGCAGAAAAACAGGGAAAGCACTGCGGTATGTTTTTCCTCTGCCGCGCTCCGCACGCTCCAGCTCAACTCGGCCTCATTCCAAACACTCTGGTGAGAAAAGCAAGCGCATCCAGCGGCAGAGTCCTGCATTTAAAGCGCCGCGCCAGGGTTACTTCCGCTTATTGTTTTTGGGGACGCAAGCGTGACCGCAAGTCAATAATTCCGATGGAAAAAAAATTTTTGGAGCCATCGCTGCACGAGATGTCACGCTTTAAACACCGAGTGTCTGTTTTGTTTCTTTTTTTTCTGCACAAGTAATGAGACACCGAGCGCTGGGGTATGCACAAGAGGAAAAGTTAAATAAACTCTTATGGTTTTAATGGTTGGGGTAATTACAGGCACTTACGGCGCAAAAACATTAGCAGAGATACAAACTTAGCCAACAGCTCGTCATTTGCCACAACCACCTCATAATTTTCAAGCAAATTGTCAAGGCTTTGCTTGTTATCAGTAAATCTCTTGGTGGTGTTTCAGGCTTCCTTAGACAACACGCAAAAGACTTTTCTTAGGAACTTTAAATCCTATTCTTCTGGGCAGGATAAGTTCCCAGGAAAGAACAGAGGAAGTTCCCAATCAGACCATCTGAATCCAAGCAATAAGATGTGTGCTCTACAAAAGGGAGTGGAAAAGGCAGTCAGGAAACACAGACAAGTCAGCACGCCCACCCAGTGCAAAAGGTTTCTCCGTCCGGCAGCCTGGTCGATAAGGCAACATGCCGGTGATTTCTGGGAAGCGCATTTGACACCACAGCAGGGAAGGATGGGAGTGAGCGCGGCGCGAAGAACGGCAGATTTTTCTGGTTGTGCGACATGGAGACCTCTTAGCCTCCAGTGTTTGTGCTGCTTCCTGAACGGCCTGCTTGTTTTCGCAACAGGCATTCAGGCCAGTGAGTCAGCAGCGGCCTGACTCACGCTGCTGTCTTACTGTGCCTTCCAGACACCTTGTGCTCTCAGCTTTTTTACCGTTAACTGTCAGGGCAGGGAGGAAATTATAGGTGTGATCCTGAAATCCACAAGGAGGATTTTTTTTTTTTAATTCTTTTTTTTTTTTTTCAAATAAAATGCGGGACAGTAAACCTGGAAGTCACATGGGGAATTATTACACATCTTCACCCCCTTCCCCTCTAATGGGTCTGTCTTTTTCTGTATGCGCTATCCTGACACATGATACATTTACAGTAGAAATCAGACAGTTTCCCGTTTAGCTCAGTGAAGATTAAATGAAGTGGACTTTCATCATTTGGGAAGGTCCATATGATGATGTCTTCATATTAATTTACAATATTAAAGTTGAAACGAGGAACAGCTGTTGATCCATTTTAAGGTCCCATCATTGTTTAATTTAATGCATGGGGATGCATGTCTTTCTGCTTCACCTCCAGAGGCCCGGTAAGGGGGGAAAGTTAGGACAATTCCAAGGGTCCCTGACCAACAGGGGGCCACCATAAAATAGTAATTTTTTTCTTCATAGAAATAGGGGGAGGATCCTGTCAATTACAAAATTAGTTGTATTGTGTTTTTTGAATTGTTTTTAGAAGTAAAAAGTAAATGTTACCACTCCCAGACCAAAAAGCACATATCCATATTTTCACTGAACACCTCCCTGTATCTAAATGAAATGGTTCGTTCCAATGTTCAGCAAAGTTAGAACAAGAACACTACTGCTACAAGAAAAAAGAAAAGAAAAAAAGAATGACTGCTGCAGTTACTATGCTGCCAAAAAAATTATAAAGTGAGGTTTTTAAAGAAAGAGAGAGAAAAAAGACAAGAGTGTCAATTTGTAGCCCAGTTTTTCTCCAAGAGAGGTGGGTAGGCTATGAGAGATTATCAACCACTTAGCATAGTTAGCTTAGCTACAGAGTGCTGTTTGCCTCCATTTCTCTAGCATTTAAAGAACAAAAGGAAAAAAATTACCAACATATCCATATATTTAACTTGTACCTGTACCTTTTACCACACTTAACAACAGATGAATCAGTCAGCAGCAGTTCTAACCCCGATACCAGTATAACCTCTCTCCTGTCCCAGTGAAAAAGGTGAGCAACATTGTGTTCAGTGATGAGCTAGTTAGCTTCATTTCATTGAGTGATAGGGTTTTCTCCCACTTTGCCCTTTTTAGAATTGCACAACTAAAACAACATATTTATTACTGACAGAAATTCAAACAATCTTTATAAAATAATAATAAAACAGACTCCTGTCTGAACTGAATCCTACCTTAGCTTGCATTTAAATTACAGACATCTATTCCCACATATGCTGCAGTTATATACCTCGCACTTGTCTATAAGCCACACTTTTGGGGATTTTTGTGATGGGCACTTTTTCCATAAGCTAAATATGACTGTGGTGACACTAACTGAAAATTATTTTAACAGACTTTTAAACAGTTACATTCAGTAAACAGCCAAGTATGAAACAGCCAGTTGAAGCCAATAGGACTTCATCACATCTGCAAAAAGAAATCCTTTTTGCAGACGCGATCCTAAGTCCACCAAAATGGATCCCATCAACACCTTGACGGCTCCTAGAAATTTGTGACAAAGGGCAACCTTTGGAGAGTTCAACTCTCACTGGATATTACTCTTTTTGTGTTTCTCCAATCCAAATGGTTTGCAAATTCAACTTTTCCAGAAATTACCTTTTTTGAAGACAATTTACATTGGTCAATAACCCCAATTTACATGATTTTGGAAATTTGGGGGGAAACAGAGCACCCAGAGAAAACCCCCACTAACACGAGAAGAACATGCAAACATCCACGGAAAGAGGCACTTGGTTAAGAACTAAGATCTCTTTTCTATGAAGATGCAGCACTAACCACTGCATCACCATGCTAACCTTATTTTGTTGGTTCAAGATATGAGATGTATTTTGAGGTTTTGGAAATGGTTCAGGACTGACATGAACAATCCGCACACATGCTGGATAGGACTGACTCTATTGGTAAGTGGTTCAGTTCCTGAACTACTAAATAAGCTGCTCATAATTGATAGCTGCACTTCTATACCTCAGCTGACATAATTATCCAGTTTATCTTTGACATATCTATAAGTCACAGGAGTGAATTTCTTTCTCTTTTCTTTATTGTTATGCAAGATATTTCCATATGTTCGTATAACGCTTTTAGAAATACTTGTGCACTTTAGACTAATTAATTTAAGTCTAAATTAATTAGACTTAAATTAATTTGGAATTTAAGTCTAATTCCAAATTACATTTTTGGAATTAGACTTAAATACTAACAATGACCAAATAAAGCAGAGTGAATTGTTACGTTTAAAAAGTGAATATAATAAATTATCTTATGAGGCAGCAGCAAAATGTTTAATGTGGTTAAAGCAATCTTATTATGACCAAGGAGAGAAAGCTGGGAAACTCTTGGCATGGGGAATTAAGAAAATACAAAATGAAAGAGCAATTAATAGTATAAAGACCTCCTCTGTTCATCCTCTGGTCTTATCCTCCTCCTCACAGAAGAGACAAAAAAGGAGTTGGACATAAATTTAACGATTTAAGAAATTTCACAGGCCACACAGAGTATCAATAGTGGTAAAGCTCCTGGGCTTGACGGCTTCCCCATTGAATTCGACAAACTTGTAGCCCCACTCTTCAACATGTATGAAGAAGATTTCAGAATTGAAATTCTCCCACCCACTCTGAGACAAGCAATGATCACATTGATCTTAAAACCTGGTAAACATCCTGAAGAGTGCTCTTCATTTAGACCAATAAGTCTGATGGGGGTAGACACTAAAATATTTTGTAAAGTCTTAGCAAAAAGATTCGACCCCTTCATCTCACATTTAGTTCATAAAGATCAAAACAGCTTTGTACCAAAACGTCAAGGGTTTCACAATATAAGAAGAGTTCTAAACATAATTCATGAGAAACTCACCTCTCCCTTTTTAACGGTCATGGACTGTCTGCGTGGGGTGATCTCTTCATTAATACTGGACAAAAAGTTCTGAGAGATGCGGAGGGCATCCTGTAACAGCGGGTAGTCTGGATGACCGGAGGGTGTGTGCTTCAGCAGGTCCTAAAGGCCAAAACAGAAAAATCAAAGGAATTCAGTTTTGAAAAGGATTCCCCTGTGCAAAATCGTGGTTTCAATTACTGACTTACATGGAGAACAAGAGTGCTGCGTGTCACCCTGTCCACAGGTTTGTAGAGGAGAGCTGTGGATGAGGAGTCATCACAGTGAACAAAAAAAAAAAAGAAATGGATTCCAGTACCAGGAAAGTTGATATTTCATCCGACTCAATACTTACTTTCCAGAGAATATTTAGCAGACTGGTCTTTGCATTCCTTTGTGTTTTTAACCTTGAGATTCTGAGATAAGAGGGAGAACAAAAAAAACAAACACCCTGATTAATCCATAGCGAGCTTGACTGACTGCAGCTGCTGAAAAGGACTAGAGAAAACTGCCCCGTCATCACTTGTCTCAGGCAGCAAAGCCCCGAATGCCGCGGCCCCGCTCCACATACCTCAGATATCTGTGCAAACTGGGCGTTGGCCTGGCAGCACTTGTCTGCCGTCTCCACGGCAACCTTATAGTTGTCCACGAAGGCCCGGTACACCCCGAGCTGGCTGGCCTGCGGCGAACATAGAGAGAGACTTGCACGTTACTAAAGGGCATTGGTGAGCACAGCACGCTGTGCGTCACTTAGCCGACCCAGCTGATTCTGATTCAGCATTGGCCGCCGTTTATAAACCCCTTTACATGTGTGCCTTTAATCTTTCATCTTCGCCGAGGTAGCTCAACCTCCTACGGAGCCCTGAGCACTTCTTTACTGCTTGTAATGTGGCGAAGCGGCTCTTTAATCTGGCTGGGGGACGCCTCCAGGAAGTCTACTCGGATCAGACGTGAGTTTCAACGAGATCCACACAAAAAAGTTATAATTAGAGCCAGACACCATCACCTTTCCACTCGGCAAGTGTTCTGCTCTTTAAGCAATCATTAGCGATCAAAGTTATGACATTTAAGCAGAGCTGTAATTAGTTTGTTGAAAGTTGCTCACATGCTAAACGGTGGTCTCTTTGATGGAAAACCCACACCCTATCCCGGGCTTCTCCTTACTCAATGCAGAGCGTCCTTACAAGGTTTAGATTGCAAGGGTTTTTTTTTTTGTTTTTTTTTTTTTTTTTTGAGCTGTAAGTAAATATTAATCAAATGCAATGAAAAAAAGATTATTGTTGCAAGAATTTACTCATACCAGCCATTTTCCCACCAGCTTCCTTTATTTCTGTTTTTGTTTTTTTTAGCGTTAGCCTCAACTTCCTTCAAGTTGGATCAAAGTGAGTGGAAAAACAAGTTTTGCATGTTGAAGCATTGTCAAGACACGTTGACTTGTCTCCTAGATGTCATCACCCATGGCAACCCCCCCCCCCCCCCCAAAAAAAAACAAGGCACTACTTCCTCTGACTTTTACGAGGACTCAAGAGAGCAACACAACTGAATCCGGTGTAGTGAAATCAAAACCAAACCAGTGTACCAGCTTCTGAAAGAGGTCGCCCACACACTGCTGGTGGCTCCAGTCTTGGACTCGGGGCAGCAGAGCGTCGTAGAAGTCCTTGTGGATCTCGTGGAGCTCAGGCACGTTGAAGAAAATGGTCTCTATCTGCTGGATGGTCAACATGGGCTGGGAGGTGGTGGCTGCCGCCTTCAGGGGCTTCATGGGCTACAAGAGGCAACCACAGCCTATCAGCCCTAAACAATTTAAATTTCAATTGACAAAACTCTAAAATACTGTACTTCAAATCACTCATTTATTAACTTTTTGAAGCTTTGACTAATATGCATTTTTGTTTCTTTGAATGCAGAAAATGTTTATGATACATTTCTTATTGCTCATGTGTACATATTTGTCAGTATTTTCTGAAGCATAAATTATATTCTAAATGATTTCTGTCAATTTTATTTTAGTTATCTAATAGCAGTGCAAAATGTGTTCTGGTTTTTGCTAGTAGGCAAATCGTCATAAAATTTTTATTTTACACCGTTCATTTTTCTGCTTGATTTTTTAAATTATTGGGTTTTTTTTGTTGTTTTTTGTTTTTTTTCCCCAAACTTGAAATTCATTTTTGGGGAAAATCTGTTCATTTTAAATGTTAAATCCGTGCTGTTGATAACCAGCAGGGTAAAAAATAACTTTTAGACAAACAAATATTGGTATTTTTAGAGCACGTAGAATGTAACTGAACATTTTTTTTCTTCCATAATTAGACTTTCGGTTTTGTTCAGACAGAGAGCCCATGTCTGGATCTGCCCAGGCGTGGATCGTCTCACACAAGAGTTGCAGCCCAAATTAGATCCATCTTGCACAATTCCTTCTAGGTATTTAAATGTATTAAATCAGTGAATGATCAAATAGACAATAGATGCTTAATATATTTCTTTTAAAAAGCTAAAAGAAATACCTAAAAAGGCATTATGCTGTGAAAATGGAACTGACAACTTAAAGATTTATGAGAGGCTGCATGGGCCAAAACTTACAAACTCTCTTACATTCACAGTCAAACTCTCTTACATGTACTATAAAACTTTTTTACAGAGTTTTATTGCAACGGAAGTTGACTTAAAATTTCAGTTTCTGATTGGACCCCAGGCAGGAGTAGGCGGGTTTTCATGGACAGAAAAATAGCTGAGTGACAGCGACTAACAGAGGCAACTAATATTTTAAATGACATCGTTAGCTCTCCCAGTAATGTCAGCATTATCAGAAGTGTTTAGAAGCCGACAGCCACCATCGGAAACCCCATCTATCAGTGGGATAAACCTAGCCGTCTCTTCGGAAATGGCAGTGAAGCCAGCCTGCACTCGATTTTAATGTGCGCGACAGCACAAGTTATGGCGCTCTCTTTTCAAAATAAAAGCACACCTCCAGTTTATGTTTGATTCACACGTCAAGTTTCTCTCTGGCAGCTATAGGAGGCTAAAGCTTTGCGTTAATTAATTTGCAAAATGACATTATGTAACTGAAAAAAAATCCTGTAAAGCACATATGTGCAACCTTAGTTAAAACTGGTCTTATAGAGGTTGTCCCTGTGTTATCCTGAAGTGAGAGAAGTACCTGGTAAGGTATTGTTTATGTAATCTGAAAGATTTTTTTGCATGTCAAATGTCAGCAATTTTGATTGAGGTAGCACATATGTGGCTTACAGAATTTTTTGCCCACATAATATGTTTTAACTTATTTTCAGATACATGATTTTCTTTAGCAAATCTATTAACACAAATTTTTACATTTTTAAAGCTGCAGGAGAGAAACATGAATCAAACATAAACCGGAGGTGAGTTTGACTGCGAATGTAAGAGAGTTTGATAGTATGTGTAAGAGAGTTTGATAGTGAATGTAAGAGAGTTTGTAAGTTTTGGCCCATGGGGCCTCTCATAAAGATTCCTTCTGTTTTCACTTAGATGTGCTAAATCCTGAAAGAAATTACTTCAGACAGACACAATGTGAGTAAATATAATATTCAGGTTACAGCAGATGATTTTATTTACTAATAAATAAAAAAACCATCCAAATTATCATGGCCCTATATGAAAAAGTTTCCATACCCTCCTCCACTGGTTAAGCCATGAATTAACTGATTAACCACATTTTAATCTTCAGTTTCCCAAGCCACACGTTGGCCTGTTTTACTTCTAAACCTGTTTGAACAAGAAATTTGTTATATGGAAACTTGTCTGACAACATAGAGTGAGCTAAAAAGGAAACATATCACGTCCTGATCTAAAGAAATTCAAGAACAGATGAGGAAAAAGAGTCAATTTCCAAATGGTTACAAAGCCATTTCTTTGTAACTTTGGGAGCAGCAGGGAGGCCTTCCTTGGAATGGCTGGTTGCCACGGTTACTCCAATGAGGCATTGATGACTCATCCAGGAAGTTACAAAAACCCCACAACAGGTTAGAGTTCACGATTCAACCAGTTATAAAAACACATTAGACCAGTTGTTGTCCACTAAGGACAGCAAAACCAGATTTTAGTTATAGGCTGAGCCAGACATTAAAAAGGGCTTACAGGAACGGTAGCCCAGGCGGCTCAAAAACGTTTTTTGTGTATACTGTTAACGTTTTACAAATATTACACCTCATATTAAAGTAATGGGCTCGTTTCACATTGAGTTTTTTTTTTATTTTGGATTTTTATTCATTTAAACTACACTCAAATTGAAAATTATCATTTTGGGACCAAATTGGAGCCATCTGCTAGCCATCCATCAATTTGTTTTTTTGTTGTTGTTTTTTTTAAGAATTGTGTGACTTTTTTCTTTAATTTGGGCTTATGTGTGGAAAAAAAGCAAAATAAAAAACCCTTAGCTATATGCCTTTTACTTGATCATCTTAAATATTTGTCATGTTTATCGAAACAAATCCTAAGGGAGCAGAAAATGATTTGAAAATCTAAAAAGCACATTATATCAATTATCTAAACTTAGCATGTGTCTAATTATTCTTACTTAGTACTTAGAACATTTTGACAATGATTTATTAATTTAAGCTTAAAAATGTATTATTCTCTCAGCAGTTTCAACAGCTAGTGACGAGTTGTGACCAACCAATCTGAAAATCTGACCAGACAATATTTGGCTGCATCTCTAGTGGATATTATGGTCGTTTCAGAATGTGATCAATGACATCTCAGCATAAAGAGTCGTTACATACAATCAGCAGGGCCTCCAGGTGGCTGAGGTAAGTTTCCTCGCTGGCCAGGATCCCAGACAGAACCCACTTCCTCATCTCCTGCCCCTTTTCCTGTTCCAGCTCCACCTGATACAAACATGAAATGATGGGGAAGGAAAAAAAAAAAACCTTGTGAGATATGAAGACATTTTTAATTTTCAATCAAGATGATTAATGACAACAAACTGAAATGCAAAATAAGCTTTAAAAGCTTGCTCACAAGCAGAAAACCTTAACTAGCTGTTGGGTAATGCGGGAACTGGAGTCGTGATCACACTCTGTAGGAGTTTTACATTCCAGGAGGCCAGCAGCGGACACTCCTCACCTCTTAAAAAAGACAAATGTTTGTTTTCTCTCTCTCCACAAGGAGTTGTTTGAAGCGGGTCAAAGATATCGCTCATTTCAGTTGGAATAACTCTGTCAGTAATAACTCTGTTGTTGTGTGTGCTGGAATGAAAAAGAAGCCCAGCCCCCTCCGCCCCCACCCGCCATCATCATTTAGGCTTTGAAAATCACATCAGAAGAGAAGAACAATGCAGATATGAGAGGAACATGGCAAAAAAATGGGTAGTGATGTTAGGTTTTTTTTTTCCAACATCTGTTTGGCTACAGTGTGTTTGCTGACTATGTGCGGCCTTTTCACCGACGCCCCGCTTCACAATGAAAAGCATTCCCCCATCTGGCAGCTACATGCTGCTCTGCATTTAATTGGTGGCATGTGGGTGCATCGGCTGGCACTTTTTTTATTTCTGCTTTTATACAGCACCTCAGCTATTAAACAGAGAATACTGCAATGTAAACATATATGAAGTACTTTCATTCCCATTTTAATTTGCCATTCTGACACCTTTTAATTCAGCAATTAAATCTGATACAAGCAAATTTATTTGGACCACGTCAGAAATAACCCATTAGATGTGATTTAACTGAGCTCGATGCAGCAATTGTGACAAACTAAATGGACCCATTTATGATCAGACAAATTTGTTCATGTCTTTCACCAAAAATGAAGCTGAAATAACACAAAGAATCAACATTTACATATATCTGTATTTACCTGAATTTAAGCAAATCTCATAATAAAATTAGTTAGTAACTTAGATTAAAAGGTGTAGTGTGGGTTCAACAAGGTGCAGTGTTGATACCTCTTCAACCTTTTTACATTTTCTACAACCAGAAATGTTGCAGGTTTTAACAGATTCATTCTGAAAAATCCAACACAAAGCAGGAGTGAGCATGTATCATACTGCTTATCATTTATTGTGGATTGTGATTTCTTATCTTACCTAAAAATTTAGATTTATTGTCATCGATTTATCATGATAAATTTCAGTTATTGATGGTAAATAAAAAAAAACTGGCAGTATGATGGGAAATGTTATTTTTGCTATTTTCTCCACTGTTTCATGAGAACATCAATAAATAAGCAAATTAATAAAAAAAGACTAAATGATGTTACTGTGAGCAGTTTCTTAAAGCAAGTGGCATCTTAAAGAATCCTGTTGTAAACTTGAATATTTTTCAAAAATTATATTTTTGTTTGTGCCGCTATGAATGCTGTGTCACGCAATCATTGCCAAGAGGCTATTTTAAAGTAATAATTAGGGTTTTAAATCATAATCTTCATTGCTATCACAGTACAGTAGGAGTCACAGTGGAAGAGTTTAGTTTAAAGCATATTTGTGTGTT